TCATAGGTTGGATAAATTAAGCGACATCTCGAACTTATAGGTCATAATTTCAGTGATCTAGCGCCCGACTTGATGCACTCACTGTCGAGAACTCTTTAGACCACAATCTTTGTGAAGAGACGATCGAGAAATAACGGAATAATGATACAACTGAAACAGAAAATATGAACTCGAGGTTAATACTTGTTTGAATTAGTGCTCTGAATAATAAAAACAGCAAGAAAAATCAAAATAACACAACAAAACTCGACTCACCTCAAGAACACAAGCTAATGTAAACACAAGGGAGAAAGAACATCCGGGACTGTTCACCCTTTTATAGTGGCGCAAAGGAAGACGGTTAATGAAAACGTACTGCATCCTGGGATAAAATCGAGAAATTTTGCCCTTCTCCAGATTAGAGTTGCTGCCTACGCTTCGCTCGCTCAGGCTCGCTACGCTGCGGCAGCAATTAAAATTTTGGTAAATTTTAGAATTTTAGAGCGTTTGCCGGTTTGGATGCGGATATGCGCTATGTGGCATATGAATGCACTATATACGGAGTATAGCTCATCCTCTTTGAAGTGGACTTTGGTGGTCATCAACTAACTTCGAAGTACAAAAAAAAAGAAATATAATTGAGATTTATTGGATTATTTCGCTGAATCAGCTGAATGCACTTGAAATTGTTGCGTCAGTGACAGATTTAGTGCAATTTTGTGCTTTTCGATTTTATACAATTTCACGGATTTACTAAATGCGCTGGGAATGCAGTTTCAGGGTCGGATCCAGGGAGGGGGACTGGGGGTGCTTCCCCCAGTCCCCCCCCCCCCAAAAAAAAATGCACTTCTTTCATAATTTAAAAACAACTGTTTCCACGTTTCCTTATGATGTGGGTGAGGTTGTTAAAAAATCACCAGAGAAACTTAGCGATGTTTACAAATTGCTGGCGACCTAAAAACATCCAATTCACTTCAAGAGAAGTATTAAAAGGCTTTCTTTCCGGCTGAAGTGGACCGATGAGTGAAAGGGACTCGCGTACAGTGCAAAGAAAGGTTGTGAGGGAGGGTGGTGCTTATTTTGTATACTTATTCCTTACTGGATGAAGAAAAAATACGCAGTCAAGGACTGCATGTGACTCAGACCAAAAATATAGGCCAATGAAATGTAATAAAAATGTAGATAAGAAATGTACTGATAGAGTGGAAAAAACGTAGTGGTAGCTGTAAACTATGAAAAGTTAGGGGGACCACTCTTCATAATAAATAGTTATGAAGTGAGTAGATAGACATTTATTTTGTAAATACTAGTGAAATTAATTCAAAAATAGTGTTACCACTCACTGGCAAAAGAGACGAAAAGTGCAATGAAATCAGTTTGATAACATGCATTTTAATAACATGCACACATTTTGTAACACTCTCAACTCAACTTTAAACACAGCCAAACTTTACAAGCTGTATAGGATTTTTAATTATGTTATTACATGGAATAATGTTGAGAACTTTTATAAACTGTATAAAAATTGCCATTGTTGGGAAAAAGACCAAATCTGTGAGATTGCATCCTTTTTTAAAGAATTTTGTTCCTGGCAAACGTTTTTAAGGTCAAAGAAGGCTTGAAAGTTTTTTAGGTTACATGTAAGTTAGATGATTAAATACGGCATTTGATTTAGACGCCGAATTTTAAGTGACGAATTTAATTCCCAATCCCCTTTCGGTCAAAAAACTCACAATAAAACTCATTCTCGTACCCAGACACTACTCTGTTGGCCTCTACGTCCGTATACGGCCTGTCGTAGGCTCTGGGACGACACCCTATAAACCGGAAGCAAGAAATCTTGCTTCCGGTTTATGCTCTAAGCTCTCTCTCCAGACTCACTCGGAATGGTTTTACCGGGTAATCGCTGGTAAAGACAGTATTATATATAATCTAGGTTTCCTGTGCCGCTAAAATAACCGTTACAAATGTTCTGGAAATTTTGAATATTCTTCTACTTCAAATATCCAATACTTTGTCGACTCCTGTCTTCATAAAATMATTGAGAATTATGGCAATTTTTGAGCTTTGATCTTGCTTAAAAACAGGTGAAATAAGTCCGTTAGGTCAAGTGAGTTGGCGGCTGTCGTTATAATTCCGGCTGATGGGTGCTTCAGCGAGAAATCATTTACTTGAGACCTATTTTTACCTTGATTCAAGTCATTTTTCGTACCAAAGTTCGATGTCGCAAAGAATGATGACGCAGATTTTTATTTCACCTAGTTTAAATTAAGAGGACAGAATAGGCAAGAATATGTACGAAAAAAAACGTACTGATATATTAAATTCCCGGGAGGGGGGGGGGTACTCCCAAATATTTGCTATACGGGGAAGTGCCGCTGGCCAGGGACCAGGAGCTCCTGGTTTTCATAAAAAAATAGTAGAAATATCGTTTCACTGTAGCAGGATTAACGTGTTATCAAAAAAGTTCTTATTGTCTTTGATGGATATCAGTATAATTGCACTTATAGCAATATAATAGCCTCCGTAGCAGACGTTCTGAGCGGTTCGATTCTCTCGCGGGAGAGAATCGAACCGCTAAGAACGTCTGCTACGGAGGCTAGGTTGCGGCGCAGATAGCTAGCTATTCCTTATTTTTCCTACTTGTCTTGAACAGGGTATAGATTTTCACTTTCTAGTGTCTTAAACAGGGTCAGCGATTTAGACCGCTGGCTAACTCTTTTTACTCATTTTATTCTCCTCGCGTTTCTCTATCCTTTCTTCTCTTTATTCTTCTCCCGCCTGTCCATTCCCATAAACACTTTTCAATTTCATGGGCTAATCATTGCCGTGAACATGTGCAACCTTTGGGCTTCCTGTGGTTTTAGAGACGTATGTTTTTAAGGACAGCGGATTTCCAGATGGCTAGTAACTATGCTTAGTGCTTAGCAACCAAACATCAATCTACTTCAAGGATCCACCAAAGTTTTTCTGTTTTTATTTGACGAAAATAGCGTAAACTGTTGCTATATAACAGATCTACGTACTTTCTTCGATATTTTAGTCGTTTTTAACCGGTTTGGAGAGTCTAGAGTCATAGAACTTTATTTAGCAAGATAAAGGAGCGGACACCAAGATGTCGATCGCAGTCGCTACACCAAAACATTGCTTTGGCTTGAAAGCCGACGTAACTAACAATATCTGCTACTTAGATGAGCAAACTATTATTTACCCGTCAGGTTCAAATTGTGTCTTGTTCAACATCGACCAGAAAACTCAACGATTCATCCCTGGTACGGACAAATGTGTTGGAATGACTGCCATGGCTGTCAGTCCCAACAGACGATACGTGGCTATCGCTGAAAAAGGAGAAAAAGCAACCATAACTATCTACGACCTCCATACGCTAAGGAAAAAGAAAGTCTTAAGCTTTAGTGAACTGCAATCTACAGAGTTTGTAAGCTTGGCTTTTTCTCCAGACTCTAAATATTTAGTATCTCAAGGTGGGCGACCAGACTGGACCTTGCTGTATTGGACATGGGAAAAAGCTAAGGTTATGGCTTATACAAAGTCAACCAGTCAACTGAATGCGGCAGTTTATCAGGTACATTATCATAGAAACAAATGATGTCCATATCTTTTCTATTAGATTCAATTTTGGCTTGTGAAAGCATATAATCTTTAAAAGAGCATTTTGTGTGGATAGCTTACATGTATAATTCCAATTGTTTGTTATTTAATAATAATTATGTATAAGATTGTACACTACAGTGTAATAATTTTGCTGTGTGTTCATCATTTTGATGCATTTTGTAATAATTTTCAATTCTTTCATGAGCTATATAATAACGCAGTCAGAATTAACTTACCAGATAACCACTGATATTAACTTGTTAATTGAAGTCTTGCAAGATAGCTCTACGTTTTTTGTTTATTTTAATGTCAGATTCAATGGTTTGATTTCAGGTCAGTTTCAACCCTCAAGATAACACACAACTTTGTGTAGTTGGCAATGGTATATTCAAGCTTTTCCGATACAGCGAAGGAAATCTCAAGCAGTTTGCTTTCCAAAAGATGGAACCTCAAAACTTTTTATGCCACACATGGTTGTCGGATGAAAGAATTGTTGCTGGTACAGATAATGGCCGCTTATTACTTTTTGAGTCAGGAGAGTTGAAAAATGAGTTCAGTGTCACTGGTGCAGCAATAAGTGCTCCTGGTACAGCAAGGTATGTTTGTCTTGCTTGATGATTATGGTTTGAATTATAAGCATAAATTACACGATTCTACTTTTTCTATACCTTACAAAATGAGTTTGATTTTGGTATTGCATATTGCTTTAATTTCATTTGAACTCAATTTTTTCTTTCACTTGATTAAGGATTTTAACGTCCAATTTAATGTCAATTTAATTCTGAAATTCAAAAAGGAACTGTTGACTAGTCACAAACTCATTACTCTTTGAAATATAAAAAGACGGATAAGAAAAACCATACTATTGATTTAGTTGCTGAGTTTGAGCGTATTTGGATTACAAATTAAGGGCTTTAAAAGCATTTAATACTTGAAAAAAAAAGAAAGAATGTATGCAACTCTTGATTAATGTCTGGACCATACATTCTAATACTTATTGTAGTATGGTCTTTCATGTGGCTGGTTCAGTTTCTGTGGATTATTTTCATACTTGATCAAAGTCTCCTTTTGAATTTCGAAAAAGGTCAATGTATTTATATGATCACGAATTTCAGACATCCTAGTACTACAGCCAGTGGACCTGAACAAAGCCAAGACCAGCAGGTTCTCCAAATCATTTGTATTGCTGCCTTTTCCAAGGGTTTTATTTGCTCAGCTGGGCTTGGAACTGTGCACTTATTTGAGAAAACAGAAGAGAAAGATTTCTATAAAAAGAGTAGAGAGATTCGTATTCCAGCTGATGCACAAAGTCCAGATCCACAGCTTGCTGAGAAACAGGAAGTGAAGAACTTGACTATCAGTCCCTCGGAGGAAACATTGGTGTGTGCTACCAGTACCTCACAGCTATACAACATCACATTGTCCACTGCTGATCTGGGGAAGGTAATGCCATCTATTCAACTAACTACATGTAATAGTGTCACAATCTTACTTCAATTCATGTCCTTGTTTGGATTTCTTGCATTCAACCATCAGTCCAGTGATACTTGCATAAATGGGTCTTGGACTGGACTATAGCGGCCACTGTATACTGTTCTACTGTTTAATAATAGATAATAATCAAAGATAGTTTATTTCTAGGGTGATTTAGCTACATTTGAGTTACTATCACAGTCTTTCCATCATGGTGTTATTACTGGTATGGATGTATGCATTAGGAAACCATTAATAGCCACTTGTGGTTTGGACAGGTCTGTCAGGATATGGAATTATGAAACTTGGTAAGCACCAGTTTTATTTGTGCTTTGATACATGTACAACTTGTGATATAGTAAAAATATATGTATTATATATTACATATGTATTACAAAGAAAAAATCGTTAGTTCTTATCTGTATGTATTCAGACCAGTCATTAAAGATATCGTGCTTAAAGTGCATCTAATCACTTCTGGGATGACATCATCACTGCTCATTCCAATAATTATCTTCCATAGCCCTCTACAGAGATTGATTTAAGGCCTTTATGGGCTACTTTGAAGAATTGTAAAAGATCAGAGATCATGTTTAAATATGATTAAGGCCTAGTTTATATGTCGAGTCAGTGTCGTGCCGAACCAAATAGTTTGAATTTAGCACATGAACAGCTTGACATATGAATCAATTGAGTTCGGCGCGACCGTATCATGGCAGCGGCATGGCAGCGCCAGTCGTGCTGAACGGCAAAAGCTACTGATTCCAACGTCGAGCTATCTTCATGCCGAACTTAACGCACAAAAATATCTTTTCTCGAGAACAATAATGGAATGTAAATTGCGTGTTATTGGACCTTTTCTTATACTTTTGACTGCATTTGGTTTGATGTATGAATCAAAGCCATACCRAATGTATTTGGGTGGACACCAATTGATTATTTAGTATGGAGCAAGTTACGCTGGCTCGATGTATGAACCGGGCCTAAAAATTTAAATAAGTGATTACTAGGTGCACTTTAAGTGCAAGGTCTAGCCTCTTGAATGAAGGTTATTCTCTTACAGTTCTCTAGAAGCATACAAGGAATTTCAAGAAGAGTGTTACAGCATTGCTCTTCATCCTTCTGGTCTTTATATCTTGGTTGGATTTAGTGATAAGCTGAGACTCATGAATTTATTGATCGATGACATCAGGTCTTTCAAAGAATTCACCATTAGAGGATGTCGAGAGGTAAGTCTCAATTTATTGAATATAGCTACCAATTGTATAGCCATTGGTTTTAGTAGCTAGGTGTTTAGAAGTGGTCCATTCCACATAAAAAATGATACTGGTGTGCTTGAAACATGAACTGTATCTCCTACTGAGTTTTATTACTCAAATCAAAAGGTCAGGTTTTGTGCTAGTGTGAGCAGGAACTGTGTCATATGAAGTTTTTTTCTTTTTGTGTCCCAGTCAACTCTCGCTATTACGGACACCCCTCATGACTGAAATTTAGTGTCCGCAGTAGCGAGAGAGTCTGTAGTAACAAGAGAGTTACTTTCAATCATTTCTTTGTAATTTTCGCTGGGGATTCAGTATTTTATTGTCCACAATATCGAGATGTCCATTGTAGCGAGAGTTGACTGAAATTGAAGTGTGCGGTAATTGTTTTTCTTTCAGTGTTCATTCAGTAATGGAGGTCATCTATTTGCTGCAGTCCATGGAAACGTCATACAATTGTATTCATCTACTACATTTGAGAATGTTGGAAACCTTAAAGGACACAATGGCAAGGTGAATTAGCAATATTGAATATAATTACATAATGTCATTTACTAATAAATACATGATTCAGTGTATTATAATAGCCAATGAAAGCAAAAAGTGTCTTCTTTAAGGATATCTTGCTGAGAGATGTTGTAATTCTAGGTCCGTCAAGTGATATGGAGTCAAGATGATAGTAAGATCATATCCTGTGGTATGGATGGTGCTGTTTATGAATGGAATGTCTACAACTACAAAAGAGAAGGAGAAAGTGTTTTGAAGTCATGTAGCTATACCAGTGTAGCAGTATCTCCTGATGGTAGAACTACCTTTGCTGTAGGGTCTGATAGAACTCTTAAAGAAATATGTGATTCACAGGTACTTTGTGCCATCAAACTTTGTCAAATATATATCGATAGTACGAATCATCTTTATTCCTATTCATTCTTTGCCTTCCCCTTCCTTTTTCCCTGTCTTCCATCATTGGCCTTGTTATATCTGATTCTCGGTTTTTCCCCTTATATTTCTAGATAATATTGATGATTTGCATACATGTATGTGTTCTCACTGACAGATTCTTCGAGAAGTTCAAGCTGCAGATACAGTGCTGACACAGTGTGTCATGTCGAGGTCTGGTAGAATGTTATTTGCTGGTACAAGTGGAGGGACACTTCGTGCAATGAAATTCCCTCTGACAGTTCCAGGGGAGTGGCAAGAGCATCAAGTTCACTCTGGTGCCCTTACAAAGGTGAATTGGTTTATGATGTGGTATTTGATGTGTGTTTGCGTGTTTGTTCCATTTGTGTATATATGTTTTTTTTTCTATTAAATACATGTAGCTATAGATATTAATGGAATTATTTTTCTTAAGATGCGGATGTCGTACGATGATCAATACTTATTCACTGTGAGTGAAGATGCCTCGTTGTTTATCTTCAAAGCTGTGGACAAAGAAGGGCGTGGTCTAAAGCGTGATAAGGAACTTGGCTACGCTGAGGAAATTCTAATCACCAAAAGCGATCTTGAAGAAAAGGTATTTATAACAGTATTGTTTTGGCTATTAAACTGCTGCTGTTGCGGCCTCGCGAAAAACTTGGTTTTCATGTGTGTCTGTCAGTAAGCAAAATTTTGTTATTGTGAATTACAAAAGTTTTTCAATTGTACATGTATTTGTAGAACTCTATGATGGCAGAACTGAAAACCCGCGTAGAGGAATTAAAGATGGAAAATGAATACCAACTTCGTCTCAAGGACATGAACTACAATGAGAAGATCAAAGAACTGACGGAAAAGTTTATCCAGGAAATGGAGTCCCTAAAGACTAAAAACCAGGTGCTCAAAACAGACAAGGAGAAAGAAGAGGCTAAACATGAAGAAGAAATGGCAGACTTAATGGAGAAAAACACCAAGGAACTACAAGACCTTGAGTCTGCTAATAATCAAAAGTTAATGTCGGAATACGAAAAGTATCAAGAACTGCAGTCCAAAAGCCAAAAGATGCAGGAAGATTATGAGAGGCAATTGACAGAGATGGAGGAGGCAAGGGAGCAAGTTTTGGAGGAATTGACGGAATATTATGAAAACAAGTTGCAAGGGAAGACCTCTTTACTTGAACAGGTATTGAATTTATAGGATTAATTAATTGATATAATTGTGTCATATTTCTGAAGCAAAGGTGTTTTTGCTTAATTAGTCCCAAGAAGAAGCAAGGCAGCAGTTACGTGAATACGAAGAAACAAAGAAGCAAATCGAAGAGGACGCTGACCGAGAAATTTTAGACATCAAGAACAAGTATGAACGGCGACTGCGGGAGGAAAAAGAAGCGAACTTGAGACTAAAAGGAGAAACAGGAATCATGCGTAAAAAGGTACTCGATTCTTAAATACATGTTTTATTTCATATTCAGAACCACAATACCAAAATACTCAAATGTTAAAATCGCAGTGATGCTGAATTTCGTACTTGTAGCGGATCTCAAAGTAATGTACAAATAATGTGTGCTGCAATTTCAACTAATATAAAACATTTCTTGCAATATCTTATTTATTTTGAGCACTTTTATTGTTTGTATTCTAGTTCTCAATTTGTAAGTTAAGTTTATTAATGTGATATGTAATTCACGTTCTTTTTACTTCACTATATTCTATTCAACTAGCCTAAAATGCAGGTGTGAACTCGATGAAGGCTAAAATGTGTGAACTAGATGAAATATAAAATGCAATAACCAAGTGTTTTTTGTTCCAACTAGCATGGAAACCTCTAGGTTCTTATACGCCTGGTTTTCGTTTTATCTTCCAATAAACTAGGTCATCCGTTTTTAACTGATGATCAATAGTCTAGGCGATTTGTATTCATTTGTATGTCGTCATAGCACGCTTTGCCCACTTCCTCATGAATGCAATAAGTGCCAATTATTCTACTAATTTATAAATAACAATGAAAATGCACAAGGCTTTCTGGTAGTTGTAGTAAAGTTACGCCATTGTGCAAATGGCCTATTGAATCGTCAAACTCTATAACATTACCCAAGGCATTTTCTACTAGAGAAAAGTGGTGGTTGACATGTTGTATTTCTTTTCAGTTTACCAGCCTTCAAAAAGAAATTGATGATTACAAAGCTGAAATACAGCGGCAACACAATGAAAATAACAAATTACAAGGTGTTATAAAGTCACTGGAGAAAGATATTTATGGCTTAAAGAAAGAAATCCAGGAAAGAGATGAAACTATCCAAGACAAGGTAACGTACTGCGGGAACCTGTTGTCATCGTCTTTATGTGTGTTTTTCTGTAAATGAACACGTCTGAGAACGTCAATAAAAAGCAAAAGATAAAATAATAAATAAATAAATAGAGTAAGATTTTGCACTTTCAAAAAAAAGCTATTTTGATAGTTTAATAGCCTTAAAAATTAGTATGAAAATGCATTCATTTATCGGTGAGACTGTTGTTGTTTTCAAAGTAGTACTTACAAAGATTGATTAAGACCGTGTAAAACAGACCCTTGGTATTGAACTGTCATGATATCATTCCATTGAGTTAAAGTGAAAGGCTATCTTCTTTTGTACAGGAAAAGAGAATTTATGATCTGAAGAAAAAAAATCAGGAACTGGAGAAATTTAAATTCGTATTGGACTATAAAATAAAGGAGTTAAAGAAGCAAATCGAGCCTCGTGAGAATGACATCAAAGCCATGAAAGAACAGATACAAGAGGTACAAATATGATGATGTATTTGACACGCCCATTAAATCGTTCTTCTAATAAAATAATTATCATGATTGACAATTCGAATATCGACTGACTGCTTTTTTTGCTATGATTTTGTTATCCGTTTTAGATGGAGAGTGAACTCGAGAGATTCCATAAGCAAAATACAAGCCTTGAACTTAACATCACTGAACTTCGATTGAAGTTAAAAGCAACTGACAAAGAAATGCACCAAGAAAGACAAAAGGTAAGCAATCTTTACTGTTAGGTTATAAATAAAGTTCGTGATAATTTTGTTGGCTTTGTAGAAATTTTAATCTGGATGCTGAAAGCGATTAGAGAATACTACAAAACGTTTATATCCGAAAACAAAATTGTGACTCTCTGCATTCAATAAAGTAAAAACTCGCGTATAAGAACAACGTGGATTAAGAACACCCAAGCCTGATTTTAGGAAATAAAGTACCATTTATATGAACACATTCAGCCTGAAAAATGAAAGTTGTTCTTATATGGAAAATATCAAAGATCAACACTACTTTTCATTGCACACATAATAGTTCCACCCTAATTACATGCAACAAAATATTCAACAAAACAAAAAATTTGTACTGTATTGCCTTGATTTTATCATTTTTTTTAAATTAAAATAGTTACATCATTGTAATCAATTAACATTGTGTGCATTGATATTGATTTCATCTATTGGTAGCCTAGCATGTTCCTTATTTCAGGAAACGTTTTTTAAAGAACAATTAAGAACACATACAGGCTGATTTTGCAGATTATTACCCTTCATATAAGAACCAAATCAGCCTGAACGGCCCTGAACCGCCAAAATAGGTGTTCTTATAAGCGGGCTTTTACTGTAATATGACAAACGATAATGCGACAAGATCGAGCTTTGTTACACATGTTTTTCTCCATCATCCAGTTAGCCTCATGTAGTACGCAAATGAGTAAACAGGATTAAACAAAAATTAACCCTGTGTATCACAGAAAATTTGATTGAAAGGTGTTTGTTTTGTAAATTCCCCGGTATTTCCCGGGGTTCGGGGGTTTCAATACACCTTTTCAGTTGCTGTTAGGCCTCGACAACATGTTAAATATTCTTTTGAATTTGTAGGAATGTGAGCAATGCAAACATGGGTGTGAATAGTCTCATTTGTCAAATTCAAAAGAATAATTAATTAACTTGCTATCGAGGCCTAAGTGCAACTGAAAAGTCTGTATTGACTAGTGCGTTACTCAAGAAATGAACAATGCAATGTATTTTCTTTTTACTTCAAAATTTTTTCACGCCATTGCTGCTCGTCCATGTCAGCACTTTTTTGCGCTATCTATGGCAAACTATCAAAAATTAAATAAAAAATGCGTCATAACAAGTTGGTCGTGGTAGTCTAACTTGCAAAAAAAAACAAAAAAAAAACAACTTTCCTGCACCGAGCCAAACATAATACGATGTGAATAGAAGAATCAGAATGGATGAATTATCTTGATGTATTGTGATCGTAGGTGAGAGATGTTGAAGCCGTTGTAAAGAGATTCAAGACAGACCTACATAACTGTGTCGGATTTATACAAGAACCTAAGAAACTCAAAGAAAATGTCAAAGCACTTTATACCAAATACGTACAGGACGAAACGGTAACTGACTCATCTTTTAATGAGAATATTGTTTTTGAACCTCGGGGCGAGTATACCCTGCGAACAGGGTAGGGCGAGTAGGATGTTGATATGTATAGTTTAGAAAAGTCAGTCCGGAATATTCGACATTTTTTGCATTTAAGTACGCGTTTCGTAGCATTTTTAGTGCATTATCGTTAATTTCTGTGTTTTTTTAGCCTGAATCCACAGGCGTCGATGCAGATATTCAGCGTGAATACGCAAGACAGCGCGAGCATCTCGAGAGAAGCGTGGCGTCTTTACGTAAGAAACTTACCAAAGACTCTGAGATCCATCGTGCTGATAATGTGAGAATAATGCAGGTAAGAAGCACGTAATATTTTGATATATGGAATATATATATATATATATATAACGGGTATTTGTGTAATGAACTGGAAAATATTGACCCAGCTTCTCGTGTTACTAACCATACCTATGTCCTAACGGGGGCGAACACGTTGGCACCGCTGAGGCGTTCCGGGTAAGGATGGAAAGCCGAGTGAGAGTTGGGATGACACGATGTCCTTCTAAAGATTTCTAAAAAGTGAAGACATTTGATTTTTCTAAACTGCCAGTAACCACGAAACTCGTAGACTTATCTGTGAATCAATGAACCTTGATAGTCCGAAGCAGATTTTGCTATTTTTGAAACTCATGAACCCCGAAACTTTTAATAGCCTGTGATTTTACCTGAAAATCATTCAACTAAAACGTATGGCAAGACATACAACGAATTTTCGACGGTATTAATGCTGGATTGTTTCTATTCTAAATTATAAAATATCTGTGAGAACAAAACAAAAGTTTTATTTAGTTGTTACGCGTTTCTATTGATTTCGCTTTATTCGCATTTTTCTATAGTTTGTTCTTATGCGCATTCGTTTTTCGGATTTCATTGCAAATTGTTTGAAAAAGATTATGGTAAAATTGATATCACGACTTAATAAAAGATTGTCACATTGTACAGGAAAATGTTACACTCATCAAAGAAATCAACGATCTTCGACGAGAATTAAAGATATCAAGGACAACTGTACACGACCTGGAAACAGCTTTAGGTGTCATGCGCAAACAGCAAAATCAAGGAAACATTGATGATGGCACCGCCAAGGATAACCAGAAAACAGAAGAAATGAGTCAACTAGAAAAAATCATCGACATTCAGAAAGGAGAGATAAGAAAACTACGTGTTCAGATCAAAGATCTTGAACAAATTTCTGTCAACAGACCACCCTCTGGAGGCAAACTCCCTCCTGTACCCGTCATATAAATATATATAATATGGTTTGTATAATATGGTTTTATTGATGGATTGTAATCAGAAATTGTACTCACAGGATCTATGTACATAAGGATGACTGCAAAATAAATTAACTTTGTTTGTAAAAAGCTTTGTTATCATGATGCATTGCTGCTTCAGTACAAACTGCACTATATATCTGGCCGCAAGATGTACCGAATGTAAACTATAACGCAATGCAAAAAGTTCAAAGTATGAATCCTGACTTCATACGTTTTTTGGGTTGTCAGATTAGTTACACGTACAGCCTAGCAAATTTTGCAGTTTGATTGTTGGGCAATCAAAGGGCGGGGTCCTCGGTGTCCCTTTTAGGGTTTGAAATCGGTATTTTGGTCCCRCTTAGGGYGATAATGACGAGAATTCCCACCAACTGAGTTTTGTGGTCCCTTTTAGGGTATATGACGTCCCTTAACCGTCATTATGAGATCAAAAACCACAGCTGAGTTAAATGATTGATTTTATTTTAATCAATTTCACGTCTTGTCACTTAACACTCCTTAATAGACGAGATTATTGGTCYCTTTTAKGGATGAAATTTCAGCWCKRCCWCGCCCATCATCTCCAAATACAGGTCCCTCTTAGAGGTCATTTTCATAATTTCCACCGAGGACCCCCGCCCTTTGATATTAGGGAGTCCCACCCCCGGGTCATAATGCCTGGATGCTTTACCACAGAAATTTTAGTTGTGGCAATTGTTGCATAATCACCTTTCAAAATATGCTCATGCATTGTCAATAAATGCTGGCCAGCAAAAAGAATCCTCAGAATGATCTACAAATGCTTGAGACAATGTTAATCATGTGCCATATGCTAACGGCAATTCAAGCCCAACAACAGGTCCAACACTGCTCAGCCAAGTGACTAGATAGTTTGTTTTCCTGCAAAGTTCAAAAATTTCAGATCCTAATATTAACTGAACATGTAGTATTATGTATTTTTGCATGTTTCTCAATGTTTCATATGCTGTACTGATATGGTTATACAATCTCATGCATGAGATGGTTAATAAACTGCGATTCCTCATCCCCTTCTCTCAGAAATTCAACAAACCTTCTTGTCGTTAGTGAGGATTCATCACTGGCCCTCATAAGAATGCACTTCATCATATCAGCAGTGTGACAAGGATGCAGCTGAAAAAATGGCTTCCCAAGGAAGGGATGTTCCTGAAGTAACAAAATCTACATTTAAACATAACAACTTGAAAAATGAAAAATTCAGATGACAATTGTTTTATACTGTCTAGTCTCTTGACCATACAGCAATAAAAACTATTTTTTCCATTGATATTGCAAACAATGGCAGCCCATTTGTCAAGAAATAACATATTCAAGTCCTTGTTGAAGATCTAACAACCAATTCAAACCTTCAGATAGATCTTCCATTTTATTTATACTTTTTGAATGTCAAACCCTTCCCACCTCTCACCCCCCAATCAGATCCAATTATTAAAAACATTACTATAATGCAATCTAGAGAAAGGAATTGGTCCAAAATCTTGAGACTTCTGCATTATTATATCTGGGAGAGTTAAAAGCCCTGTAGATTTATAGACGACTGTACTTTGAATACCTGTTGGGTAAGGAATGTCCATCTTTCTGCCTGGAGACGCTGTTGGTATACATGTGGTATTGCTGACCACACATCTTGTAGGCCAAGAGGGCAACCATCTTAAAAAGTATTTGACGCCACTATATTATATTTTTGTAGCAAATATCAACACCGAATAGACTTGATTAGTTTATCTAGTGTCTGGATCCAAAAGGTTGAAAGATCCAATAAAATCCTTCTCATAGGTTTTAAAAATACACAGTCATTACCTAAAGGCCCTGTTTACATGAGATATGGTGCCCCTATGTTGTAGGGCTAACTCCTTTATTTCCCTGGAGGATTGAAAACAAAAGAGTTTGGCTCTACACCTAGGGGCACTCAGTGCCGCTCAGACAAACCTAAGAGTTGGGCATCATTGACCTTGTACCCAGGGCCCATATAACTTTCAGTAGGGGTGGATGCTGGTAATCCTTCTTCCAGCCTTCCCCCCTTGCAAGAGTCCTGATTAAATACATAATTTATATTATTAATAGATCACCTGCAAAATTTCAGACCAGCACAAAATTTATATAGTAATACCATAATCACCTCGGATTCCATTGTCTTCCGAGGGGTTTACAAAACCCGAATTTCCTTCATGAATAACATGAGGGCAATTTAGAAGACAAAGGATTTTTTTGTCTTTTACTAAATTTCCCTCTATTTAATTTATGCATTAAGGGAAAATTAGTAAAAGACAATACTCGGGGAAACTTAATCACTAATTTACCTCGTTCCATGGTATTACTTAGAAATACCATGATTTCTAATGAAAAATTGAAGTTGAACTTGAGCAAATTTGAATTCTTGTTTTTTTGCATGTAATATAAACATGGCAACAAACTATTCATGCATGAAATGGAATGTGACATGAAAAGAATGGATACACACTGTTCTAAGAGTATCAAGTACTTTATTGTATCATTGAAAAGGTTTTTGCAGAACAGTACAAAATGATATTGGTAATTCTACCATTGTTACTGATTTCCCACCACGAACTTTTATACATTCATTGCTTTTCAGTTCTATTCAGAGATGAAGTTAACGAACCTTAACTTCAACCACGAAAAATAATTTTTACATTTGCAAGTGTAATGGAAAGAAGCTATACTATTATCAAACATTGAAACTCATCAAGTGCACATGCTTAGCAGTATGAAGTAGTAACTTGGAACCAGAGCTACKTAGTCAATTTGGCCCAAAAATCATCCCAGTCATTTCAGTGTGACTGAGATGATAATGAGTGCACTCATTGCAGAGTTAAAAAGAAGACAGCTGTAGGGACATTCAGTTGTTTCTACTAGGAAGCAAAGGTTTCCTTTGCCCTCTGTTCCTCATGAATAACATGAGGGACGATTACTAGTAATCGAGGGACGATTACTAGTAATCGTCCCTCATGCTATTCATGAGGGAGGGATGTTTCGCTTGTAAATATCCCTCGGAAGACAAAAGAATCCGAGCTGATAATGGTATTACTAATATATTGTGATATGAATATTTTCTTTCAAGCAGTAATACATTAAATCTAACATATTGTGCAAACAATTTTGAATTCCAAGTCTTTTTATTCTGGCCTTTAAAACTCCAAATATGTGGATCCCCCAGTCTCAACTAAGCCTCATGTGAGTGAGTAGCGATAGAGCCCTCAATAATTTATAGTTCGGTATATTTTTGTCTCCTGCCCTTTTACAATAAATCTTCCTAATAAAACTCTTACCTTGTGTGTATGTAATGAAGTACAAGACTGGTACACCATAGCTTGGACTGTATGTTACATGATATTCATATTTGAGATAGTTATTGTTGCTGTTATCTCTCACAGCTTCACAATCCTAAGAAATAGGCAATCATTACTTTAAAGCTGCATAATACAACATTTCAAGTTTTATAAATTTGGCAGTTAATTTATGGTTTTGGAATTGAACACAATCGTACGTCTCACAATAAAGACAAAACAATCAATCAGATCAATCAAGTGTTTGGAAATAAAACTTGGACAAAATCGAATCATGATTTTAATTCAGGGTGAGTTTCTCATGTTACAAAAGGACATGGACCTCACGTGGATGGTTTTGCTTATGGAGAACTTGATCAGCAATAACGAAATAATGTATTCATTTGATTGAATGCTTAGTCAAGGGATAACATGAGTGCTTATTCTCCATAGAAACTGGAGAGAATCTCGACATCGAAAAAGGTTGAAGAAAAAGGAATGTATAATAAATCTTGACAAAGGAAATCCACCAAGCATCTGAATGTCTTACAATTTGTAAGGGTACTGTGTGCTGTGAGTTTATAGGAGGTTAGCTGCATCACATAATATTTACCATTCACTTTTTTATTTTTATATTTTATTTTTTGGCACAATTGAAACAATTCAGTTTGTTCTATTGGTTGGGGTGTCTGGCTCTGTTTGAAACTCTTGTGTCCAATTTTATAATTTATTGTGTTCGATTTCAAAACCAATTGACGATCAATCTAAGGAACCCATTTATGTGTTTGACACAGGAAACCCAGCTCAATTCAGCTCTCAGTACTTCAGACTGTTTTTTGAATTGTTTTTAAGTTTAAAAACTTACATCCTTGTCAGTACTTGAAAGCGTATCATATTTACTGTCTTGGCAATTATCCTTCACTTGTACAATGTTAGCTAAAACTTCCCGGAAACAATGCTTCACCAAATACTTGGCTTTATCATGACCTGGGCCAAACTAAACAGGTTATGCATTAGTCAATGTAAACCCCCAGGGCAGATAGGGGGATTAGTGGGGATTTGGGGCAGTTTTGAATGATAACCAATCCCTAGAGGGTGGGGCATTTTTCTCAAATCGACATGAACAGTAAGTTAACTCTTTAAAACATAAACTCTTACTCATAGCATTTCAAATTTGCTTTATATAATGAAAATAATAAGAATTATTATATAGATGATTTCTAACACGCACTCTCATTGGCCAAAAGTGTGGTTTATGAGAGTATAAACCATGATTGTGCGCGAGCGATTTTTGAAAACAGCAACAAAATGGATTTTTGCTTAAGTTTTGCTCAAAATCTTTATAATAAAACAAATAAATAAGTCTCAACCTGTGGTTTATACTCTGATAAACGCACGCTTGGCATTTGAAACACACTCAAAAATTTGAAACACAGTCAAAAATTTTCTCGTGTGTTTCAAATGCCAAGCATGCGTTTATCAGAGTATAAACCACGGGTGAGCCTTATATATTTATTAAAATATAATGGAATGCATCTTTTTATATTTGAAAAAAAAATGCAATTTATAATGCGATTTGATGTTTTTATGTGTGACAAACCATGGAAATTTAATACCAATTCTGTGTCTCGTTTTCATTAATATACGTGTTATTTACTTTATTTAAACATCACTGAAGTAAAAAAGACAAGACACTTTGTGCAGTGACAGTATCACCGATAAAGTAAAAGAGGCATTTTGTCTTGAAAGGACAGGAGATAATACTATAATTATTAATATATATTTCAAAAATTATATTAGCTAAATTAAAAAGCTACAGATGTTTGTTATATACTCCCCTATATTCACTATACGGGGAGTCGTGCTGCCAACCAGGGTAGGGTATCATTTTCAGCGATTTTACTCTGGAACTGGGTATCGTTTTTAGCGATTTTACCCTGGAACTGGGTATCGATTTCAATGAATTTTCTCTGGAACAGGGTCAGGGTTTAATTCCGGAATTATTGATGCTGGATAAAAATTCGGGGGGTAAAAATTTCGCTAGTGCTGGATTTTACTCTGGAACAGGGTATCGTTTTCAGCGATTTTACTCTGGAACAAGGTATAGACATAGTTTTCAGCTATTTCACACTGGAACAGGGTCAGGGTTTTTTTATATAGTCCCAGTAGCACACCCCCACCCAAGTTGCGGGGGAGTACCCCCCGGGTTATAACTTGACTGCTTCTTTCTATCCTGGTGTAGGGGGGCGTTTGATTAAAATATCAGTGCCCCAGGGGTTGGGGTTTTTATCTCTTTTTGTCGGACAATGTCCAGCTCGTGGTCCGCTATCTGTCCCGGGTCCAAAGGGGTGGGGGCTTCCATTGACTAGTGCATTAAAAATAAGCTGGAAACATGCAATTCAAATATCACGAGGGGAAACTGGGTTCTCCTTATTATGAACACCAGAATAATCAGGGAATGCATGTGTTTGTCTCGTTCTGAGATTTTGTTCTTTGTTGTGTCGCATGCAGGCAAATATCAACTCTTTCATTTACCTGGTGATATTCTGACTCTAGCCTCACCTCCCAGTGATCTCCAAGAGCCTTTGATTTTTGTACAAAGTCATCTAACTCGTCATTAAACTCGGTAAACGAAATCCTTCCGTCTTCACTGCACATCACACAGAGAGATAAGCTTACGAGAAGGCCGGCACGGAGGCTGAAACAAAAATGATTAAGCCCAGTGGTACGGTAAAATGCTCAATCTAAAATGTCTCATTAATTTAGGGCATAATTTTGTCCAAAGACCAGTTATACAATGTATTTTTACAGTGAGATCTTGGGTTACCTGTGGTAAAAAGTCCCATAAAACTTGCGCACCTTCAATCCAAAATGGCGAAGGTAACAAGAGCCATGGAAATGTTGAGAAACTTTCTTGTTGGGGTAATGATATTTCCTCGTCTTGTTTTGTCATATTTATGAATGCTTATTATTAAATGAACATTCAATATATTTTTTGGTTTCAGAAAACACTGATAGTTCCCCATCGTTACGCCGAAAATTTAGTAAAAAGGTGAGAATTATTTTAGGACGACTAAGTAAGCTTAGTAAGAATTTTTAAAAACACTCTTAAAACTGATTAGGCTAATTAATGCAGACATTTACAATGCGGCTACTGAAACCGGGGCCACCTAGAGATGTACTTACTAAAAGGCGCAATGAGCTACAATGAGCTACAATGACCTACAATGACCTACAATGACCTACAATGAGCTGCGATAAACTACTATGGCCTACAATGAGAGCTAAAATGAGAGCTAAAATGAGTAGACAAGTACAGCAGAATGTGATTTTTGCCTTATTTTTAATTAAATTTTCGTTTATTTCGGCCGCTACGATCATAACGAGTGTCAAACTCAACCAAAAAATTACAACTATTAGAGATATACTAACAACAGAGTTAGGATTTTCGAGTTGGATTTTCGAGTTGGATTTTCGAGTTGGATTTTCGAGTTGGATTTTCGAGTTGGATTTTCGAGTTGGATTCTCGAGTTGGATTCTCGAGTTGGATTCTCGAGTTGGATTCTCGAGGATTGAATTCTCGAGGATTTTCATTTCATTTATACTATATACATAACAAAAACATATAGAGATATTAAAGCTTCATGTTGGTGTTTTATGTATATATTTTTCGCTTGAAAACGTAAAAAATGGATAACAATAAACGAAAAATTGTTTGTTTACGTTGTTATTTGCTGATCGAGATACGTTTAGATCTGCTTTATATCCTGTCATCATCTGACGACAAACAGATCACCCGTGTAGCGTCGTGTAGCGCATACAGTTCCCGCATACAGTTCTCGTTCGCTAATCAGTATCAATAATATGGAATACTGTAATCAGTATCAATAATATGGAATACTGTAATCAGTATCAATAATATGGAATACTGCAGTACTGTATATTTTTATATCATTAGATCGAGAATCCTAACTCGAAGGATAGGTATCCTCGACAGATACTAACAAAAAATACCAGCCAGAAAACGGCTTCAAGTCTCTTCAAGCGCATTTAGGTTGAAATCGACGACGGATTCGACGTGTTGATGGTCGAACAAAAGTGATGTCACGCAATACCGTGCTGTCAATAAAAATATACCCTGCGAGCGGAGTGTTATTATTATTTTACCGAGGTAAGGTAAATAACACTCTACTCGCAGGGTATACGTACTTTTGATTGCTCTCACGAACATATTACTTTACGTCGGAGGATTCCAACTCGAGAATGCGCTACACGGATGATTTGTTTGTCGTCAGATTATGACTGGATATAAAGCAGATCTAGACGTTAAACAAAGATCTCAGGTACAATTTTTCGYTATTGTTATCAGTTTTCTATGAACTTCAGAGAAATACCTACATGGTTCATTCAGGCACAAATAATGGAGATATTACCACGGACATAATGCCAGATCACCTACTGACGTATTTCCCCGCACAGTGATAATCAACATAATAAAGCATCGGATTTCAAGAATATATTTCAAGGGATACGCTAAAAATATATACAAATATAAATAGAATAAAATTAGATAAAACTTGAAGCTATAATATCTCTGTTTTATTCAATATATGATATATATAAATAAAATGAAAATCCTAAACGAAAATCCAACTCGAAAATCCAACTCGAAAATCCAACTCGAAAATCCAACTCGAAAATCCAACTTGAAAATCCAACTCGAGAATCCTAACTCGAAGGATAGGTATCCTCCAACTATTATATGATGAAATAAACTTATAACATTTTTTTTTTTCGATCATTTATTTGAGAACACGTTTTTAGCATTCGATAACAATTGAAGAGCACTATGAGAACAAGGGTAATGCAAACTTGTGAAGGTAAACGCTGTTGTAGACGTATAAATGAGTATTTYGTAGTCATCAAGTGGAATATATAGAGAAGTAAAATATTACACACTGGAAAAAATCGGGCGCTTTAAAGGTTGTAAATTTGGTGTGAATATGAACTTATAACATAATAAAAAGTACCTTCAACTTCAATTGCGTACCTCTCTGAGGTCGTAGAGTCTAATGTCGATAAGGAAATTTATGTTATCAAACGGTCATCAAACGGTAGCTGAATGTCCACTCAAGGTCGGGAGAGGAAGATGCTTCCATTTCCTCTGCAACACACATTTATTGGTTTTAATAATAGTGACAAAGCATAATCAACAGGGCTGTAATTGGTTGACTAAAACTGGGTACATGTCTAAAAGTTCTCCTGCTCCTCAACACAACGTTTATCCCACGTTTTTTAAAAGATATTTCATAACTTTTATTTCTATTTTTTTTTTCACTTTTTCATTTGTTGAGAAAAAAATGTGGCAATAACAGTTTGTCGTAGTTAGCGGACTCCCTGTGTAATACGCATCAAAAACAAAATGGCCGAAAATTCAAGATGGTGGATCATATCGAAAATGTAATAAAAATAAGGTAAAAACCCATTCTGTTGTGCTCTCTTAGTCATTGTAACTTTCATTGTAGGTCATTGTAGTTCATTGTGGGTCATTGTAGGTCATTGTAGCTCATTGTAGCTCATTGTAGCTCATTGTAGCTCATTGCGCCTTTTAGTAAGTACAATCGGCTGCCAGCCTTTAACCCTTTTCTCTTCACTCTGGAGAAGGTCGAAATCTAACCCTCCCAAAACACACTAAAACAGCATCAAAATCGAAAATAACCCCTCCAAAAATGTTCATAAACTATTGAACCATCTTTATTGAAGTTTTTTGATATTTCAAGAATGAAAAGATACSGTTTARAAACGATATTTTGACTACATGTGAAAATCCGTTAAGTTTGTCGCCACAGGTAGCCCATCTCCCGTAACTCCTCAGAGACTGGTAAGCCTGTGGTTCTGTGTTGCAGTAAATTGCGCATGCTTAATAGCGACTAAACTCAGCAGTTACCTTAATTGTCATTTTTTGTCTCAATGTCATTCATGTTAATTTGTGTTGGAGTTTTGTAAGTCGTTTACAACATTCGCGTCCATGTTGTATGGGAATTACAATCTCGAGCCGCAGGCCGCTTATGTTGTAAACTATACTACTTATAGCTAGCCAGACTTTATGATCTAACAGGGTCTACTAGTTATTACTCCAAACATACTTATAAATGCATATTACATGAAGGAATCTAGGGATGATGCATACATATAGACATAAGCAAAATCAATAAACAATTGAGCTGTAAAACTCTTTGTCTTTGATTAATAGGACCCAACCCTTACCCAATCTACCAGATGGAGCAGCTCATAAGCTCAGTGCTAATTACTATTGTGATAGAGATCTGCGCAGACAAGCAGCCCCACCCACTGTTGTTTACAGCCAACAAAAGTTACTAGAGACTATGGATGAAACTAGGTATAATATGTAATCTTTATTTATTTGTATTGTTAGAGAATTTTGTTTATTTTATTTCATCAAAAACTTATCAGACATCTTTACACTTCAAAATGCTACAAACTAAACAAGTCAAACAATATCCCGGATTTGCCGGGAGACTCCTGATTTCAGATCAAAACTCCCGGTATCAAGATTTTAGCCCAAAATCTCCCAGATAGCACGATAGAATGAAATTAATTACTAACCATCGTTATAGATTTTTATTTTCAAAGAAAACCTTCAATGAATTATTTTGCGTTTCCTCAATCTGTCGATACGGTAACTTTTTTCAACGAAATACCTATGGGTGGGTGGGTAGGTCGGTAGGTCGGTAGGTAGGTGGGTTGGTGGGTAGGTGGGTAGGTGGGTTGGTGCTTAGTTGCTTGGTTGGTTGCTTGGTTGGTTGCTTGATTGCTTGATTGATTGATTGGCTAATAACAAGTATTTGTAGGCAATATTTTGGCGGTGGTAAAAAATACATTATTTTAGTAAGGATTTCATGAATACAATGCAGGTTTATATCACCAAAACAAATCTGCCAAGCTCCAAAATAAACTCCAAAATTTGACTTATATGACACATTTTGTCTTGGCATCTTGATTAAAGGTTTTTCCTTAATGCATCAAGATGACTGTATTCAGCTTCAGTCTATTGTTTGAAAATACCAAGAGAGCCACCTGATACAACACACCTTACACATGTTCGCCCCATGTAAGAGAATCCAGAGAACTAGGGGATTCTGGATTCCAGATTCCAAAACATTGGGTTCCAGATTCCAAGCCTTGGGATTCCAGATTCCAAAGAATTCCAGTTTTGGATTCCGAAAAATACATGTATGATTTTCAGTGTGTTTTTTTTCCCCGAAAATTTTATATTCGGCGTGTCAGTAGCCTTGCACAGATTCTGGATTCCAAATATTTGGATTCCTGATTCCAGGATAGGGATTCCAGATTCCAAAGCTGTTTTTTTTGCTGGATTCCGGATTCTCTTACATGGGGCGAACATGTGCATTAAATTAAATTTAATTCTACAAACTGCATCAAAAGATAACTTTCATTATTATCATTTAATGATATTTGTGTACTTTCAACAGTGAAATTGAAAAAACACCAAAGTTACCTGGACAGACTTACGTTCCCAAAGATTAAAAATCAGTTTTGAGAATGGGCTTTATTTTGACAAATTGTGAATGTCATGAAATCCAGACCTGTGTTACATGTAAATAATATCAAGTAAATAAAAAAAATCAATTTAAATATACATTGTTGAATTTACTTGGTAAATTTTTACTCAGTACTATCACTCTGAGGAAAAGCAGGGTCGACTTATACAATGTAGAAATAGTAACTTTTTTACGTAATTTTAGGGGTTGACTTATATAGCTATTTCAAAAAAGGTTGTCAGATAAAATGGCAAATGTCAATGGTCGAACCGGCGATTGCACGACTGAAACTAACCATGAGTTTTGATAATTGAAAGGCAATAACAACTGATTTATACTATACAATGGTCTGTGGTAAACATTAGCTCCATTTAGTCTCCATTTCTAAAGTGAGATGAATCCAATAAGACGTGCATTTTTGTTTAGCAAAACAGTGTAACTATAGTCCCTTTCGGTCGTGCAATCTCCCTTCCTGTCTGCCGTTCTCCCCGACAACGTTTTTTGAAATAGCTGTATACCGAGTCTCCTTAAACTTACAAAACTTATTAATAATGCAGAACTCGCTTATGCAACAGATGGCTTGCTTTCCATGTGGGATGCATAATTATTCAAAATGTTCGGTGTTGCAGTAAATTGCACATGCTTAATAGCGACTAAACTCAGCAGTTACATTATTTGTCATTTTTCGTCACTCATGTTGAAACTATACCTAGTGTCTTTCGTCATTTATCTCACTGTAATTCATGTTAATTAGTGTTGGAGTTTCATAAGCCGTTTACAACATTCGCGTCCGTGTTGTAAACTATACATTATATTCGGTATTTTTATTTTTTTTACTTTCTGTTGTCACAGTTAGTTTATTGTTCCTTTTAAAACATGATAATTATTAATAATCTTTAAAAAGTACCCTCTGGTAACAGCTGTAACTACCTGCCTATACTGACTGGCAAATTTTAATACCTAAAACCCTTGTAAACGTTTATCAGAATCGCGATGTACACAGACGGACGGAAGGACAACTGGGCTTCCTGTGTCGGTTGATCAAAACTCAACTCCATGGGTTTACCATTTTTCCTTAGTTATGGGAGCTCCGCTATTATCAATTGAATTCTGTGTCATTCTTAAAAGAGCCGACATACAAATTTATAGTACATTCAACAAAATAATACTCAGTACAATTACAGCGTTAATTGTACTCCTTAATTAAGTTGAATGTACTATAAACAAAAAATCGCACAACCTCTCGTACAATTTGGAATTAATAGTAATTTGAGAACTTTCAAAACATTACGAGTGACTATTAATTCCAAATTGTACGAGAGGTTGTGCGATTTCCTATACTTATGACAGAAATTGACAGGGTATTACATGTATAAAGCTGCTTCCAATGGACTATTCTTAAACTTCAACAAATCTAATTGTCCACTATAATTTGGGCATCTTGATAGGTATTTTGGGTTTGAGGCAATCCTTAGATTTCTTTGGTATATTCCTCCAACAAAATATCTTCTGATTCATATTTGAGATCTTGAAGAAAATCATTGATATCTTCAATAACTCTGTGTAAGCTTAAGAAAAGAATAGATGTTAGTACTGATTGAAGTGAAGGCTGTTAAATCTTTCTTAATTGATTCATATGACAATAGGCAGTTTGTTAACAACCTGCTCCACAATAAATATCTGCAAAATGCCAGATTGGTTATTTGATTGACTCATATCAAAATTTTAATCAAAATAAAACAGACCAATTTTCTGAAAAATCGAGTTTTTGGTAAAAAAACAAACAAATATGAAGTAGAGAAAGTTGTGAGATGAAAATCAAATAACCTGAATTTTGCAGGTGTTACACCTACATATCATAATGAAAAGCATCTCTTCAAGTGGAAAGTCCATTAAAGTTTGAGTTATCAAGCCATAGCCTACAAAAAGCTTGAGCTGCTCTGGAAATGACCCATTATATTATCATATTCCCCTGTTAGCCCAATTGGGACATCATTTTGGTCAGGTGATGGGCCTTGTAAATCCAGATACACTTCTCTCATGTTGCATCAGTCTAACAAAGCCCCTACCAGATAACATAAAATTCTGTCTTACTAGAACAAAGAATAGGCCTTGTGCTGCTACTAAGTGGTCACATATCATAAAATATATTCCAGAAATGGAAAGAGTGTGCTTATGTTAGTAGGTAAAAATGACAAAGTTTTAAGTCTTGCAGCTCTAAATATTTCAAGAAAGGCATTTATCTAGATTTAAAGAAATATATGGGAGAAACTTTAGTGCAAGATTGATAAAAGATGTGCTCTTCAGTTCTAGTTTTGCATACAGTCAGTCAATCCGTTAACATTGTTCACTTGACATAAAGACGACAGCAAAGTCATTTGCATAGAAAGGTTTTTTACAAATCCAATTTTAAACTCCAGCTCAATTGCTTGCAAGTTACCTGTTATTGACATTGTCATAAAGTTTTGGAGCTTGAGAGTGAAATATATGTAAAAACAAAAAACAAATTGTATATTATTATATTTACTTTTGTTTTTTTTACATCTTTACAACTAAACATAGGTTAATAGAAAAAAGTTGATTTTCTCTTTACCATATTTTTCAAGAATTTAGTGTCTCTTTACTAATTCTGACCTGTTCTTTTCATTTCTGGGCATCATTTTGCCAAGCTGGTTGATTTAAGGTAAGTGTAGTAATGTGACAACCAGCTGCACGGGGCCTATTACAATTGTAACACAGAATCATTTGAAATTTGACAAATGTCTGTTTGTACCTTGTTTTCAGTGATGCAATGTCGTCACTGTAATCTTCTTCTGGGTGTTCAATACAATCTTTTGCCTTTATTTGAAGCTTTGCTGTCTTAAAGTGTAAGCCAAAAATATGTATAAGGGGGCTAGTAAACGTACCAGAGGCTGCAATTTCTGGGCATAGTTATAGGAGGGTGATTTTGGACTCTTTTCTCAACATTTTGATGAGAACTACATTCCCCATATCAAATAGAGTAATGTTGGTTGGACTTGAACTCATGGTACTCCTGTTTCATCAACCAATTTTGTTTTATTTACCAAGCTTTCTTCAGGGTAACAATAGTTTGAAGGTTAAAAAATGGTAAGAAATTTACGAATACAAACAAAATATGCATGCGGTTGAGATGCACGCTTAATCAAGCGTGTGCTAAACCCGGGGGGGGGGGGGCACTCCCCTATATTCGCTATACGGGGACGTGCCGCCAAACAGGGTATCGCTATCAGACATTTTACTCTGGAACTGGGTATCGTTTTTAGCGATTTTACTCTGGACCAGCCTATCGATTTCAACAAATTTTCTCTGGAATAGGGTCAGCTAGGGTTTAATTCTGGAATTATTGATGCTGGGTAAAAATTCACGGGGTAAAAATTCGGTCTACACGCAAGCTAGTACAAGATTTTCTCTGGAACAGGATATCGTTTTCAGCGATTTTACTCTGGAACAGGATATACTTTTCAGCGATTTCACTCTGGAACAGGATCAGGGTTTTGATGTCCCAGCGGCACACCCCCACCCAAGTTTGGGGGGAGTACCACCCCTCCCCCCGGCTCTCTTTTAAGTATTGCAGAGTCACCCCAAGCAATATCGTGGCCAGATGTGATTGCATGCTCTGCAATTGCTGACTGATCAGATTTTTGGAGTCTTACGCATGCTTTATGCTCTTTTATCCTGGTACTCATGGCACGTTTTGTTTCTCCGATGTACAGTTTCACAATCACCACATGGAATTGAATAGATAATGCCTGTCTTTTTGTCATTTGGGACTGGGTGTTTGACACTAGACAGTAATTTCTTTAATGTAGTGTGCGGTCTTGTGCATGATGTTATGCTGTGAAGCGTGTTTTATTGCATTTTTAATAGAGACAGTGGACGAAAGATTCCAGCAAACTACATTCCATTCTTGTAATTTTTTTTTAATCTGTTTTTCGTGCAATGTATCATTGTTGTTATTTTCCTTATTTAGCGCGCATTTAGCATGCACTTGATTAAGCGTGCGGTGCATATTTTTGTTTGCATTCGTAAATTTCTTACCGTTTCTTGTCCTTCAAACCATTGTAACCCTGAGGATGGACCCGAAAGCTTGGCACCTGAAAGCTTGGTAAATAATAATGAAACACGAGTACCATACATTTCACGTATTTTTCATATTCACTTATTCACTAGATTCAATGCTAAACACAGAAAACACACCAACAGCACCAAACTTTCTAACATCTGGCAACTACACGACAAAAAACAAGACTTTCAACATCAAGTGGACAATTATCAGCCGTGCAAGACCCTACAGCAACATATGTCACATATCCAAACGATGTGACCTCTGCCTAACAGAAAATCTAATGATAATCAAACATAGCAATGACAACCTACTAAACAAAAGATCAGAACTTAAGATCAGAATCTCTTATCTTTTGAATTAAAAAGTCATTATTTAAAGATCTTTAGCTAAAGATAATACCAAATCAAGCTTTTCTTTCTCTTTCAGCTGTATACTTCTAATGATTCCAGCAAGGTGATGTTTGTTGTTTTGTTTCAGAATAGCTTCTATAGTTCTGATTTCTTGTGACAGGTTGATGAAAATCTGTGTGATTTTATGAACATGCTGGCGGTACTTCAGGAAGTCACAATTGGCATTTCCAACAAGATACTGTTTAAAACCCCTAAAATCAACAAATCAAGAATATTATCATCTTCCAAGTCAGTCAAGGAACACTTTTTCCCTCATTATTCCCATTTAGTGTAAAACATACTATAGAAGACTGTTTGACATGTGTAGCTTATACCAAATTACTCTGTCTGAGATCATTCCAAGTCTCATGATGACAATTATCAAAGCAGGATGATTATTTCCATAGTGGGGGTGGGAGGAACTCCTAATTTCGTTTTCTAGGTCTGGGGTATTAATAAGTATCTTTTTAAAAGTGTGGAGTTTCTGTACACAAACATACAGAAAATCTCAGATCTGATATTGATGTTCCACCCACAATCCATTGCTTTCGCTGCTAAAACAATGAATTTCTTTGTTTTTGCCATCAAAAAATGTGTATACCTCACCTGTACCATCATGCACATCGGTCGCTGACTATAAATATTCACTACACAAGGTATCGTTCTCTTCATTGATATTGTGAATTACATGTATACCATGTTGCTAGATTAAAGTCATTAAACCTGTGAAAAGAGTATACTTCTGACTATCCAAAGCTATAGTCAAAATAGAAAATAATGCCACACAACTGAATATGGCACAACTGTAATATCCATTTCACAGGCCTATTGACTTTAAGTAGAAAAACTTTTAAAAGGCACCAATTGTTTTAAAATCATTTTAAAATCGTTTTAAAAAAACGTTGGTTTGCGTATCGACAAGTTACATATTAACAAAATGATGTGGTTTGACCTTGAGTTACAAACACCTAAGCGTTTACATTTCCAGTTTTCATGATCAAGCTCAAAAACGTTCTATAATAACAAGCTCTGTCCATGATGTCAAAAGTAACTTTTTATGTGGAGTGCTTATAACATGTTTATATTTAGAACTTTTTAACCCATCCACTAACCCATGACGTATAAAGTTGTCATCCCATCATTGTTTATAATTTCACATAGTTGAACTGTGAAACTATTTTGTATCATTGGATGCTAATTTCTTTGGTTTTCTTTTCTTCACCTAGTACATTCATTTTGCAATTTCATTCCACGTTTTCACTTTACAAATTATAGCACTGTTCAATAAAGATGAAGAATATAGTTGTTTGCATATTTTCACCGTGAAAGCGGAGAGTCAAACTCAGTCAAACTTTTTTTTTGTTCTATACAAATCACTTATCACAATTTTGGAATCCAGTTTTTACATGGTCGCTTGGAGATATGAATGTAATATTCTCATGTTCAATTAAGTTGTACGCATTTGTGAGATATCAATGGAACACATTGTAAACACATGTACTCTGTCTATATGTAATTGATCCTCTCTATAATACCTGGGTATAATCCGGGGGTATAATTAATATATTTATCATAGACTGCATTAATAAGCAGCTGCACCACACTATCACTTACTCATCAAATGTCTTATAGGTGTTTACTCGATTTTCTTGTAGAGAAAAAAACTTTTTWATTAGCTCTTTCAAATTGACTGTACTCTGCAAAGTAAAAAAAAACAGGGAAACACATTTTAAAAATATATGTGATCTGACATTCAATTTTCAGGCAGGATATAATAGGCGAGAAAACTCAGTGCCTAGAAAAACTGAGAAGCAATATTTGATTGACGATTCATTGTCACTGCTGGCAACGAGCAAAAATAGGAGAGGAAGCACCTATAAACTACTACTAACAGTGTTTAGTCGCAAGTTACCTCTTCGGGTTCCTCCATCTTTTTTTGCCGTTTAAAGCACAAAATGCAAGGCGTTCCTCGCAATGAGACTACAAGTAACTGCTGCTAAATACTGCAGGCTCATTGAAATGAAAGAATGGCGGAACAATTTTGGGGATTAAGCTATAAGCAATTACAGGCGAATTTTGTTAGTAATCTCAATGGAACTTCACTTCTTGAGATATCATTACTTACGTCTATTGCACCATTGGCTGTTTTGTTAAGATCATGTATTGGTGCTCTTTTGTGGGCGAATATGGCGTCGCGGTCGCCGGTGTCTTCGAGGTGAGAATTTTAAGCTAACGGGAGCTAGTTTATGATATAACCGGTCCTTTTATGATATGTTAGACTGCTTTATTTACTCGAAATGTTTGATCAACAATACAAAATCCACGAGTTAAATATAATAACAGTTTCATTTACCAATCTGACATTTTGTTTATAAGCAGCTGGTATCTAAAGAGAGCCAATGTGAACCACTACCCCCCTCCCCCACTATTCGGGACATGGTGGGAATTTGTAGCAAGTATGCTTTCAAATTACAACAGGGGCTCTACTGAACCTCTATCCGTTTCGTTTCTGGCCGTATTTTACTACCCACAAGATCGGCTATTTGGTAGTTCAATTTATTTATTTTGTTTTTTCTTTCAGCTTTGTTTTTATACTGGATTACATCATATTGATTCTCCCACTGGTTTTTGTCTCCACAATCCTGTCAAGCTGCATCATAACAACACTTGTAACACTGAGTGTTATAATAACCACTTGCTTGATTTTATCATGCATCATAATTACAAATAATAACTCAGAAAACTCATCTCATCAGCAAGATCCCAAACGTCAATCATTTATATGTAACTACAGAGCGTATATTGTCATTGCTACAGCAGTTTCTATACTTGCTGTTGACTTCAATATTTTCCCAAGGCGGTTTGCTAAAGCTGAGACATATGGCTCAGGGTTTATGGATGTTGGAGTTGGTTCGTTTATTGTTTCTAATGCCATTGTTTCACCAGAGGCAAGGTCAATTAGGAAGAATGCAGGAAGTCGGTTAAAGTGTACAATTCAATCAATTAGGAGTTCTATTCCACTATTGGTTTTGGGTCTAGCAAGATTTCTAGCAGTTAAAAGTACAGATTATCAAGAGCATATCAGTGAATATGGAGTACACTGGAACTTTTTTATCACTCTTTTCATAGTAAAGGTATTATATATGTCAGAGCTGTGGTTTTGTACAATATAATCAGAAAACATAGGTAGTAGAATGAATGAATTCACTACCAGTACATCTGTGAAAGGTTTTATAAAATTGTACAAGTTATTGAAAAATACTTTGTTTTCTTTTGCTTAATTGCTGCGAATCACAGATGTGAAAAAGCAACTGATACTAATACATAGGTACTACTAGTTAGAATTAACTAGTAGTTTGTATTCCACTGCTCATTGAGACTCATCACTCTATGTATGCACTCTGGAAATTAAAATAGATGATTAGATGTCAATGAGAATTCTGTACAATAAGAGAAGTCTGTACAATAAGAGAAGTCTGTATAATAATTAATAGTGGATGTTAGAGGAACAATAATTTTTTTATGAGTTAATAAATTTTTATTTTTGCCAGGTTTTATCCACCATTTTAGTTCAACTACCAATACTCAGCAATCCCTGTACTTATGGTCTTACTGGCTTTATAATAGCAATCTTCTATCAACTATCTTTGACTAGATGGGGTCTAGAATACTTTGTTATCAATGGTAGCAGTGTCAGTGGTATAAGATATGGATTTGTTGATGCCAATAGAGAGGGATTGTCATCATGTTTCGGGTATCTAGCTTTGTATTTTATGGGTTTACAACTTGGAAGATTTCTGTTTACAAAAAAAAGGTACTGTATTATCATGACAACTACTGTTGTGTTGGTCATTAAATCCCATTGCACAATATATAATACTATTAAACTTGAATGTGTAAATTTGACTAAATTAAAGTTAATTGACACACCTAATTGAAAAAAATGTACATGTAGTTGGGTGTCATTAGGTTACATTATCAAAGCTAGACCAAAAGTGGACAGGGGAAAGCAAAATTTTAAGAATATAACAGTGTTTCAGTACCAAAAGTTTGTCTGTACTGAAAAAGGATATTCTCTAGTACGAGGAATATTACAATTCAGCATTTCAGTTAGGCAAATGTGATTCAAATTTTTGATTGAAAAAAATTTCCCTTTGCTGTTAGTACGATGACATCCTTCTTTTTCAGCCTGACAATGTTAATTCAACAATAGTCTTCTTCACTTGAGATCGTGTTTTATCAGGTATAAAGATTCTCGCCTTTGGCTCGAATCTTTATACCTGATAAAACACTCTCTCTCTCGTGTTATAAACTATACTGTCTTAAACCTTTTTCTTACAGAAACTGTTGGTATACAGCCTTCCTGCTTCTTGTTTTGGATGTCATTTTGTGGATACTCACTGTCACCAGCCGTCATTATGTTACACCAGTCTCTAGAAGAATGGCAAACATCACCTTTATATTTTGGCAGGTAAAATCATTAAAACCCTGTTGAATCAATATTATCAAAATAACAATTATATTATGGTGGATGTAGTCTTTGGAAGAACTGAGAGAAAGTTATCTTCAGAGATGAGTGAAGAATAGTAAGAATGTATGTTAGCCAATAGTTACTGGATGTTGTTTGATTGGTGGTAACAGTGTCCTAAGTGAGCATCATCACAGCTTTGCACACCAACAGTATGACTGTCATGTTTGTTTACAAGCCTTGTTGTATGGTGCCATACAATGTAGTATGACTGTCATGTTTGTTTACAAGCCTTGTTGTATGTATAGTTTACAACATGAGCGGCCGTGTTGTATGGGAATTACAATCTCGAGCCGCAGGCGAGAGATTGTAATTCCCATACAACACGGACGCGAATGTTGTAAACGACTTATGAAATGAATGAATAATTAAGAATTCTTTAATTATGTATAGGCTATAGTTTTTTTTGCCATTTGTTTAAAAATAGTCATCTATGTTTAGATGAGAAAAACTGTACTAGATTAACTATGAATGTACTTGATTACCTAAAGACAACTCTCCAGAGACCTATTGCAATTAAGCCTGGACAATTAAAGGCGAACTGTATACAAACGACTATACGAATGCATTCTTTTTCACTTTTTTAATTATCGTTGCGTCTTGCTAACCCTAACCCTAAACCTAACCCTAAACTGATTTGTACTGGATTGAGTTATATTGGACTGGCTCAAAATAAACTGAACCAGTTCAGAACAAATTGAACTGGTTCAAAATCATATTGAACCTGAACTACAACAGCCATTATATAACAAAGGATTTTTGTCAATTTCGTAATTTGAGTGATTTTCATTCTCTAGAATCAGTGGCAGATCCAGGCGTTCCATGGGTTCCTAGTAACCCCCCTTGAGCATAAAAATAAGAGAAATAAATGATAAATGAAATAAAATGAAAATGCATCGTACAAAATTGCATCTGTGAAGGATGATGCTGCATTTATATCTGGGAGAGTTGAAAACACTGACCCCCGGTCCGCGGACCCCTCCATGGACCACCTTCATGGACCACCCATGAAAACATTGCAAATGCCAAATAATAGATTTGACAAGAATTATTTTGCATTTGCTCATCCAATAAAGGGTGTTATGCATGCATACTATATAGTCAATTGAAACGCTCGCTTCCCGACCCCCGGGAAAAAACGTGAATTTATGTTTGAGTGGCGTTGAAATAAGACGTTTCCCCCGGTAAGACTCGGTTGTTAAAATCCCCGCTAGACTTGTCCCGCTGTTTTGGTCTAGTAGTAAATAACAAAACAAGCACCTTTCAGTCAAATTTTCTGTGATACACTGGGTTAATTTTTGTATAATCCTGTATAATCATTTGCGTACTACATTGAGGCTATGGACTGTGTAATAAGTTTCTTTTAAAAATTTTTCATACATGCCCCGCTTCAAAAACAATTCATCAAAATCCCGACCCCCGGGACAATCCTGCTGATAAAAGCGTGTCACTATTTAATACTCCGCTAGTCCCGGTAGTTGGGGACGGGGGTTTCGAATTAAGTTAATGATTTTACCTTTGTCCCGTCAGTCCTCTACACGTTATATTTTTGCATTTGATTTTTTTGCACCACAATTCCTCTTGCTTCTTCACATTAACGTTTTATAGAAATTTATAGTGCGCAGATTTCCATCAACCATCTGTGCTTGTGAAAAAGGAGTGGTTAGCAGTCAAAAGAAAATTGGCTAAAGCTCAAAAATTATACCATGTAATAGCATTTCCCTACTCTTTAAAATAATAAAATGTAAATCTGCGCACTATAAATCTAGCCTGCGTGCAGCCGAACCAAAACTTGTTGTTATGTTCGACGAACATAACAACAAGTTTTGGTTCGGCTGCACGCAGGCTATATAAATCAAGCTGTTTGTTGATTTTTTTGTTGTTCCAAAAAAAATCAAAAGACTGACGTTACAATGCGGCCGACCGACAACATGGCAAGATAAATCATTAACTTAACACCCTTTATTGGATCAGCAAATACAAAATAATCCTTGTCAAATCTATTATTTGGCATTTGCAATGTTTTCATGGGTGGTCCGTGGATATGGTCCATGGAGGGCTCTGTGGACCGGGAAAACAAAAGAAATCACAACCGTGAAGAGTGTTGTAATATTTGATACAAAACTGTCTTGATTTGCATAAACTTCAAATCTAGTTTTTTAAGGTAAATTCAATTTTATCTTTAAGTTTTTAGTAGATTATGAATGTATACACCTAAACGTTTCAGGTGGCACGGGTGGTCTAGTGGTTAAGCTGCTGGCCTCTCACCGCTGTGGTCCGGGTTCGATTCCCGGACACAGACCATATGTGAGTTTGAGTTTGTTTGATGTGTTGTTCTCTCCCTTGCCATGAGGGTTTTTCTCCGGGTCCTCCGGTTTTCCTCCCTCAGCAAAAATCAACATGTGAGGAGTGTTGTGTGCTAAAATACTTAATGTAGAGGTAGTGCGTGTGAGAGTACAGGGTCCGCAGTAATTGGCTCACGCTGTTGCGGTGTCCCTGCCCATACTAGGGGAAAAGCTAATAAATTGAATTAAAAATTACATTCGCATCCGTGTTGTATGGGCTTTACAATCTCTCGCCTTTGGCTCGAGATTGTAAAATCCCATACAACACGGCCGCTCATGTTGTAAACATTACTTACAATAGGTAAGCAGCTTTATATTACACTTTATTACAACATGGCTGCAATGTACCCACACAGAACTGTAAATCGTACTTTGAGACTTAAGAGATGCGCTATCTAAAACTACATTGGTCACGTTACATCTGCAAAAGTTCGAGAGGCACAGTAAAAAAGTTTGTTTTAGGAAAATGTGAAAACAAGGTGGAACCCCCCTTAAAAAAATCCTGGATCTGCCACTGAGAATCTACATGTAATATCTGATCTCCCTACCTGAAATGTTAAATATATTAATGTTTGTATTATGATGCTTTCAGATGGCCTACAATGTCCAATTTCTTGTCAGTTTCCTGTTGGTTGATATTATTTCCATGATTGTTTTGCCAAAGGATGTCAAACCAGCTGGTTGTGAAGTATGTTACTCAAGTCCTAATTCACTCACACGAGACCCAATCAGACTTCTGCATTGTTCATGTTTGATTGCTGCAATAAATCGCAGTCAACTTGCATATTTCCTTGTAGCAAACTTGTTTACTGGTATAGTCAATTTTTCTGTGAAGACTTTATTCTGTACTCATACTCAGAGTCTTTTGATCATTTGTGGGTACATGTTTGTGATGAGTTCAGTATTTACGCTTCTACATTTTTTAGGTATTACTGTAAAATTGCATCATTGAATGATAGGTGAAAATACATGCTTACAAGTTAACCAGGAGTAGCTTAGGAATTTAATTAGCATAGCATTTCATGAGAAGCCAGAAAGAATAATATGACAATGTTAACACAAAATGAAAATATTTTTTGATACAACAGGTCAACGGAATTCCTTTGTTTTCTATAAACTTCAGGCTCATCTTTTAGGCATGTATCATCGGTTAAATTAAGAATTGCTATGGTCATCTATTAAGATCTGAATTGTTTTGAAGTCACAAGATGAGCCCAAGCCTGATAAACATGGTTGCACTAAAAGTATTATGTAATACTCTAGACATTTCCTTTTGTCTCAAATCAATAGATTTCCAAAAAGTTCCAAAAAGCACTGATAAATACATGCAGCTTGAAAGCTAAGAAGATAATCTAAAACTCACACTGACAACGGAATTTAATATTATATAATATATTTATTCCCCAACTATAAGTAAAAAGTATATAATTAACAATTTTATATTGCTAGTAGAATTTAATATATTTATTTAATAGACATTAAGATTTATATGTTATGATCTTAATGTATAGTTTCAAATAAAAAGTTGTGTAAATTGGCCTTTTTTCACGTAGATTGATTTCATGTCAAATAAAGGAAGAAATGTTTGTATTAATTAGCTCAATGCATGTATGATAATATCAAGGTAAAATAATTTATTCATATGGAAATATGAAATAAAATATAAAAAACATAAAGGAACAAATAAATACTTTTTAGAGTAGACACAGTTCTTTTATATCTTTGAAATATTTGTACTAACCTCAGTCAGTCTATATACTATTTTGTGCAACATTGTTAAGATACAATAGAATATTAATAAATTGAATTGAATTGAATAATAAATATAGTGTGGTTACTGAAATAGATGCAGTGTTTTGCAAAAATAACAGTCTGAATATTTTATAATATAAATAAGATATTTACTAAAGTATGATTTGCATAATACGTACTATATATTTTTAAAATTACCAATAAAAATATTTATAAAGTGAATGAAGTCATTAACACAACAAGTGTTAGACAAGTCTTGTAACTGAGGAGGTTTTCAATAAAATGAAACTAGTTTTACAGACAATACAAACTGATTTTGTGCGTCAAGACCAAATGAAATCAAGATGAAATTAATATCAAAGTCTTGCGAGGCCAAAATACTCAATATATCAAATAATTTACAGTATAAAGTGGTTTTTCCTATAAAGTGGGGATAGAGTGCTCAAGTGTGACGTCACAAAAATTCTTTTTTTTCGAATTTTTCGGATTCGTTGAACATCCTTACAGCGCAAGATAAAAAGTAGCTATCTACCTAATTTCAGTGTCCTAGTGCCATTTAAAGAGAAGGTACAAGCGATTTTATGGTCGGGTGACCACATACAAACGCTTGTAAATTTAGTCTTGTTCATAACGAAAGGAACAAGATCGAATTTACAAGCGTTTGTTTGTGGACATGGTACACGACCATAAAATCGCTTCTATCTCCACTATAAATGGCACTAAACTAAAACACTCATATTTAGCAAGGATGTGTTAAAAATGATGAACTTTCAGAATATTGAGGGCAAATTTAAAAACTCAGAGATTYTTGTTTTGTGACGTCATCAGTCGAGTACTATATTCAACCACTTTTTAAGTAGAATTATCCACAATACTGTCACCCTTTATACACCTATTTCAAAAACAATGAGATTTGAACGCCTGTGTTTGAACGCAATTTTTGAGCAAAAAACTGTCAAGGAACCACAAAAAAACATCAGTAGAAGGCAAGTCATCTTGGAAAATGGTATAAAATAGAAAAAAATCATATAAATGCCGGATTATGCATGGTTTGGTAGATTATGCGGAAAGGGAGCAATTATGCGTGTCTGTCATAATTCCAACATGCCTGTTTTTTTTAATATGTAAGGATTGAATTTTACAGACTGAATGGATCTTTGCAAAACGCTGAACTAACAACAAATCTTGAAATGGTTAACCACATAAAAAGCCATTTCCACCTGTCTTGATTATAAAGAATTAATACAAGTTAATTGCCCTGTCATTTCTCCACTTAACTAGATGACGAATGGAAAGTGAATATTTTCAAATTAAGTCTTATTGGAGCATTGTCTTAATTAGGTGTCTATAACATTTTCAAGACAAATATAGTACACATGGCCTTTCTTGTTTCCAAGGGCCTGTTGCATCACAACACATTCACTTGAAATTATTAAGTGCACATGAACCATTTCAGAAAATCATTTTAACAAAACTTTTGTTAGGCAAATACGATGCTAATCATTGTTTTGAAGGAAAAAAAAATTCAGTTAAAGGCATTTGAAAATTGAAAATGCTAATGATGTGACGTCAAGGGAGGCTTCATTAAATATACAAACTTTGAAGGAATCACTTTGGCATTAAATTTATCATAGGCAATGTAAGGAATAATCATATTCCCAGTTGGCATTCATGAAAACACTTTTGAGCGACTCTTCCAAAGTTTGTATATTTAATGAAGCCTCCCTTGATGTCACATCATTAGCATTTTCAATTTTCAAATGTTTTTAACTCAGAAAATAAAATTCAAAAAACTTTTTTTTCTTCAAAACAATGATTAGCATCATATTTGCCTTTTGTTAAAAATGATTTTCTAAAATGGTTCACATATTGTGCACTTTAAAAGTATAATTCAGAACATTCCTCAAAATGTCATAGAGTTGTTTCATGGAAAACGCGAGGAGAACTAAAACCTTTAGGTTGTTGCAAAGTCCTTTGGGATGGTTGAGTTTTTTTATAAAGCTTGTTAATAGGTGCTGTTCCTCCATGACTGGTGCAGGATTTTGTAAATGTATTTTCTCTAGGCATTCCTTCATAGCTCCTGGGACGGCCATCAATTTGGTTGCTTTCAAAAAAGGGAGTGTTTGTATTTGTATCAGAATATGCATCCTCAAATTTCTCCTCTTCACCCTCAGATGCAGTGCTGTAATTTGACAGACCTTCAGAGTCATCCGATTCTGTATCACTCAGTGGATTGTCATTTGGCATGTTATTGTTTTTGGCTGCTTTCGAGGCTTTGACGGCTTTTCTTGCTTGTTTGTGTTCTTTTTCAATTTTTTTCAGTTTACTCAAAGCAGCATGAATGCGGAAATGAAGTCTGCTTTCTAAGAAGTAACCCTGGTATTCATGGCTGGAAATAAAAAATGATTAGGTTGTTTATAAGCTAATAGATCTACAATAATAGGATACAGAGCATCAAAAGGATATTACAGCAACATAGTCTTCCCATGAGAACATCTGTTATTATAGTTATCAAACTCATTAATAATTCATAATGTCATTAGCCAATGACATACTGAGAATCTAATCACGTGTTTATACCTTTATATTGGACAAAACATGATGATACAGAACTAATGTTTTATTAATTAGGTCTGTATCAGGAAAACGTTGAATAATAATCAGCCCCACACTCCCCTGAAAATATTCAAAGCCGCCCCCAACTTTGAGGTTGCTGCACGTTTTGTCCAATATAAAGGTATAATCACGTGATTAGATTCTCAGTATGTCATTGGCTAATGACATTATGAATTATTAATGAGTTTGATAACACTTTTTATTAGCTATGGTGTTCTGCTATTAAGGTGCAAAGAACAGTATAGCACAGGTATAAGAGGTTAAAACTTAAAAACTAGGGTGACCCTCCCCTAGATAAGCTTTAAGAGTGAAGATCATGACCCTCCCTAAAGCTTGCAAAATTGATATTTTATGACCCTTCTCCCCCCCCCCCCCCCCAATTCCCCAATAATAAATGTACCTTCCCTAATGAATTATTAATAAATTTGCTAAACATTAATACAATCTCAGGATACACCCTTACAACATAAAAAGTAGCTTAGGCATTGAAAATAAATCCTAATTCTTATTGAATTAATCAGAAGCACACAAATCAACTTTTCCAACTCATTTCTTCCTACATTGTTTGTTTAGTACTTGAATCACATGTTTTTGAATATTTTGAGGACATATACTTGAGAGCCCTCTGCTAATCATTAACTGCTATAATGTCAACATAAATATACACATGTTTTGATATAATCATGAAATCACTTGATAGAACATGGCCCCTAGTACATCAGGTCAGTGAACTCCATGTTCAAGTGAAAAACTTACCATGCTGTCTTAAGGTACCTCTTGGCCAACACATATTTTCCTTGGTCCATGTACAAAAACCCTACTTCAGCACAAGCATACGCTCCTAATTGCTTGTCTAGAATGGTATCCCTAGATCTGTGGAAACAAAAGAATGGATGATCATGCAGATGGCCATGGTTATTGATTCAATTCATAGAGGGTATTGTAGTTAACATTCATTTATCTTTGAACCTGTTTTCAAATATGTTGCAACATTGGAAAATTAAAAAGTTTATAGAAAAATAAATTAGTCAAGAATAATATTATATTCACAAATGCACTCTTTGTTATGTACAACTGACAGCGAGATCTTCATTAAATTACACCAACTGTGGGTATTAATTTAATTCTTGATTACCATTAAGACAAATATGGACAATATAAACAAACTGCATGAAAGTATAATATATTGTAACAGCTAGCTCAGATAGTAAGAAGTAAATTAGACAGTCTTACTTGTCTAGAGCAGCAAGTAAGGATTGCAGTGCTTTTTCTGTTTCCCTTGTACACTGATAACACATCCCCTCCAGTACTTTACCCAGGCACCAGTCATCAATGTAATACATTTCATCTGATATTAAAAACATAATAATTATTGTCATCCCCATATTTACTAATTTATTCTAAACCAAATCAAAACGTATACCAGCACAATCCTGTTTTAGGCCTGGTATATCCAAAAGGCTGCCAGCCCGGACGATTTCAGATTGATAATTTATTAATAAAATGATTTCTTCCTATTAAACAGTGAAGAATCATAGAAAATATTTTATTGTAACAAATACATCTTTGAGTGTTGACAGATCTCAAGCGATATATATTCTGGTTATCACATTATATTAATTATCAATGAAAGCAAATTATGTCTTGAAATAACTTTTATTTACCTCCAATATAGAGGGATACCATGAATGTGGAACAACTTAATGTAATGGAGAAATATATTTACTAAGTCTTTTTATTAGATATAAATATATAATGTAAATGTAATGATAAGTCAATTTAACAAACATCTGCCACAAACATAACTCTAGGTTGTATGATGATGGGTAGCTTAAAGAAGTCTTCACAATTCTTATTTAATTTTTAAAAAGTCTAATAAATTAACACAATTCACAGCATGGTCAATAATGTCTTTCACCTGCAGCCGCCATTGACAATTGCATTGAAAACAATTTATAGTCTCCTTCACAGTTCCCTGCACCATCTTGAACGGTATAGCCGTGCCTTTGCATCGAAGCGAGACCACAGTTGAGCATGCAATGATAGATACCAGTGAATAATTGTCTGTAGGTGTGAAAGGTTTCTATTATTGCATGTTCAACGGTAGTCTCGCTTCAAGATGGCACAGGGAACCGCAAAGGAGCGACTATTTGCTCAGCTGAATTGAGTTGAAAAAGATGAAGACAAGTTCATGATAATTATATTATTATAGTTCTTGAAGACTCAAATATTATTATACTAATTTTGTAAATTTAAAGGAAGGTTTATTAAAAAGAGGTGAAGAGCAAACAATATATTGTTAGTAAGAAAAAGGGAGATGGAAGCACAAATTTAAAATTAAAAAAAAAATTAAAAAAAATTTTTTTTTTAAAAACTTAAGACATTTTTAACTTTTGAAGAAAATATTTACTCACCAACCAACAACTTAGTTCTGCATACCTTTTCGATGCTCTAATTTTTCTTGTTCTTTGTGAACAAGGTTCAGCAAATGATGAGACAAGTCAGGGCGACGCCGCAGAACATAAAAACCATTCCACATGTAGATCAACTCCTATAATACAAAAACCTGAAGATATTCAGCTTATTTTAAAGTGTAAATGAACTCTTGACTATTTTCTTCAAAGTTGAGGAAAACCGACATCATGGAAAAATGTTATTTGCGAGCTATAATGAAAATCGGTTGAAAGCTCATTTTTTGAAACAAAGTTATGAAATTTGTGATAATCATTCCATAATGTCCTGAGTTGAGCTTAAGTATGACGTCTACAACAAGGAACTAACATAACTGTCACATCGATCACTGTCAAAGAATTGTTGGAAGTTGTCAATTTAATAATTAAAGGCATATTATATTGTATGTGTTTTGTTCTATTTCATTCTACTTATATGTATTATGTATATACATGTAATAACAGGAATGAGAACCTTCGAATCTCCACCATTTACTTTCAAAAAATCTGGAAATTTGAGATGTAATGTAAATGTCACACTCAAACCAGGCCCCTGATTTCAAAGTCTTCAAAGAGAGGACATTTTTCCATACTGGCAGGAAATTTAAATATCAGATGAAATTCATCCAAACACTAAATTTAAAAATTTTTTGCTGCAAGTTACTATTTTAATCTGTTGACTTGCAGCTCTAAATAATTTAGCCATTTTGATTGGCTAGATCAATAGCCAATAGAGAATAGGCTCTATTGTTTATGCCTCGTTCATTAGTAGAGTCACTCTGTGTTGAGCCAACCAATGTTCTTTGGAGCTGCAACCTGACGAATCTTAATAGCTGAGGATAGATCATCCTCTTGAATTTGAGAAAAAGATTACTAGACAGTTTATTTCATCAYCATGATCGACATTTTGAGCAATTTTTGGATAGCAAGATACTGCTGTTGTACATGGGATCAAGGAGGATCAATCAGTATTATTTTGAATGAGGATCAGTTTTAAGCAATTACACGATCACTCAATTTTTAGCAATCATTGATTTGGAAACGTTAACAGGGACCAAAATTTTGTCTTCTAAAATGGGATCACACGCAAAAAATATATTAACCATGTCACAACACCCTGTTTATATTTAAAATTGTTTTATCATACAAACAGCTGTATTTATTTATAAAAATAATTTGCAGTGTGGCATACCAGTCCAGGTAAAAAGAGCCAGTTTCCTTGACTTAAGTATTTAGCTGCCTTGTGGATGGAGTATTTTTCAAATGGAATTGACTTTCCAGCTATTCTTTGTTTGAAGTCAGGCAGATGTCTGTAATATCAATGTATAAAATATATATTAAATCAAAGTTTATATCATATGGAAAAAAACTAAAAAAAGGTGCTCAACGACAATATAAAAGCCGGAGCTGTACGAAATAGAAGACAACAGAACAAACTACTGTTTTTCCATGATGTAATATTCACTACAATTTTGTTTCGTATGGTCCAGAGGACCACACTCATCAGGTGAAACCATTATAACAATAATAACCATTATAACAATAATAACCATTATAACAATAATAACCATTATAAACACCTGCAGAAATCTTTCCGACCTGATTTTATAAATCCGACTTGTAGTTCACGATAAGTGGCTTTGATCGTTTGCACTTATCATGAGTGTGAATACGCATTCCCACTTATGGTAACCTACAATCACGACGTCATCGTCATTTGCACTTACTATAAGGGCAAAGCCACTTACTATAAGGGCAAAGCCACTTATAGTTAGTGCGAAAACAATGAAATATGTCATCGTAAGTGACAATTCGAACACGTGATATGACTATC